ATTGTAAATAAAATCGTTGCATTTTCATGTTTTGCCAAAGGATCCAATTCGGTAAGTACATTTGTTGGTGCAGAATTAACTAATGATAACTTTACCTAATATAATTTATATTCAAGTTTGACATTTTTAAGAAATTACTAAAAAAAATCTTACACGAACATAACCTTTGTTGTATATGTAGAGAAACACTGTGCTGAACTTACTTAAATACTATTTATTAAACTATATTTACTTAACAAACTATGATAATTAACGTCTACGTATATTCTAGTGCCGCGCTGTCATTGTTCATTCTGTTGGTAACCCTGAATTGTGTACAGTGGCGTAACACTCTCCCCTTGGTAAATATTACAGGTCGAGTCTTTGAGGTGGTTTTCTTATTCGTGTTGATCGTCTCACTTCGTCGGTAGTTGTCTCTGTTGTAGTTGCGGTAGTTTTCTCAGTAGGTTGTGTGTTTTCAGTAGGTTGTATATTTTCAGTAGATTGTGCAGAACTTTGCAAATCACTGAAGTGTGGTAAAATGTCTTCTACTTCAGGTGTATTTGGAATTTTTACTTCGGTCGGTAGCATTTGATTTGTGTGTCTCCTGTGTAGCTTTTTATCTATTTCTACTTCATACTGAAGTCCATGTCTTTCTTTCACAATACCATATTTCCATTTTTCTTCCTTATTGTTATAATTCCTTATTTGTACCTTCTCCCCCACTTTGAACTCTTTGCTTCGGATATTATCTTCCGGAATATTCCGTTCATTCACTTCTCTGGGTAAGTTTCTTTTAACTAAATCCAATCTGGTTCTTATGTTTCTCCCAAGTAGTAATTCTGCTGGGCTGGTATTTGTGGTTGAGTTTGCAGTTTTGCGGTACTGCATGAGAAATCTGCATAATTTTAATTTTATGTCACCTGGTTCATTGTACATTGCTCGTAATGCCTGTTTTAATGTTTGAACATATCTCTCAGCTTGTCCATTGGTTGCTGGATGATACGGTGCGATTGTTTTGTGTATAATTCCATTTGCCTTGAGAAATTGTTGGAATTCATTTGACTTGAATTGTGGTCCGTTGTCCGAAACTAGTGTATTTGGTAGTCCGAATCTGCAAAAGATATCTCGCAACATCTCTATCGTAGCTGCTGAATTTGTTGAATGGGTTGGTATTACTTCAGGCCATTTGCTGTATGCATCTACGAGAATAAGGAAATTGTATCCATGAAACGGGCCAGCATAGTCTATGTGTACTCTAGACCATGGTGCTGTAGGAAATTCCCACGTGTGTACGGTAATTTTTGTCGGATTGTTCTTTATTTTTGAACAACTGTGGCATGAATTTACCATTGTTTCAATGTCTTTATCGATGCCTTTCCACCAAACGTAACTTCTGGCTAAAGCTTTCATTTTTGTCATCCCTGTATGTGCTGTATGTAGTTCCTCCAAGATCTTTTTCTGGTATGTTTTTGGTATAACAACTCGTATTCCTCGGAAGATACATCCATCTTGCAAGGACATTTCATTTATTTGGAATCCATCTGGTAACTTTGTTCCTGTTTGTATTGCGTTAAATAGATTTTTTAGCTCTGGATCGCGACATGTTTCTTTTTGTATATCTTTTCTGGTTACTGGTAGAAAATCCAGCTGGTTGACTTGAAATATTCCTGGCGTATCGTTCTTCTTTGTAACATCTATGGTTTGCGGTAATCTTGATAAGTAATCGGCATTTGCGTGATCTTGTGTTTTTCTATACTGTATGATGTAGTTGAATCCAGATAAGTAGTTCGCGTAGTGTAGTAATCGTGTAGCAGATGTGGCTGGTAAGTTTTTGTTTTGGTGAAATATGCTTGTAAGCGGTTTGTTATCAGTGATTAATGTAAACTTACGCCCATAACAATACTGAAAGAACTTTTTCATTCCCCAAACTATTGCAGTTGCTTCTCTATCGATTTGGCTGTAGTTTTTCTCTGCTGTATTTAGTGATCGCGAGGCAAAAGCAATCGGTCTTTCCGAGCCGTCCGTCATCTTGTGTGATAGAACTGCTCCCAGACCAGTTGGTGAAGCGTCTGTGGCTAGTATTAGGGGTAGATTTTCTGTAAATGGTATTAAAACTCTCGTGCTTGTAATTTCTGTCTTGATTCGTTGAAATGATTTCTGGCATTCGTCGGTCCATTTGTATGGTGTATCTTTGTGAAGTAATTTGTAAAGAGGGTTTAGGGTACCTGATACATTTGGTAAAAACTTCTGGTAGTAGTTAACCATTCCGAGAAATGTTCTTAATTCGCTGACGTTTGTAGGTTCTGGGCTGTTTGCAATTGCTTCTGTTTTGTCTTTAGTGGTATGTAGTCCGTTTTTATCAATCACATGTCCCAAATATGTCATCGATTTCTCAAAGAATTTGCACTTTTTCCTGTTTAGGTGTAGACCGTTCTCTCGCAATTTCGTTAATACGATTCGTAATCTGGTAAATAGTTCCTCTGTAGTCTTCCCTTGTATAGCAATGTCGTCAAAGAAGCATACTGTTCCTTCTATGTTCGCAAGGATTTGATCCATAAATCGTTGCCATATGTTTGGTGCGGTTTTTACTCCAAACATTAATCTTTTGACTTTGTAAACTCCCTTATGTGTACTGATTGCCTGTAGTTGAGCTGTTTCTTCAGTTGTTTTCATGTGTAAGTATGCTTGGTGTATGTCCAATTTGCAAAAGTACTGTCCACCTCCAAGTTTGTTAAAAATATCTTCAATTTTTGGTATGGGGTGATAATCATCGTGTAAGTATTTATTAATTGTAGCCTTGTAGTCCGCGCATAAGCGTAATCGTCCATCAGATCGTACAACTGGTACTACAGGTGTACCCCATGTAGAGTTTTCAACAGGTTCTATGACTCCGATTGATTCTAGTCTTGAAATTTCATCTGACACTTTTTGGATCAGTGCATATGGTACTTGTCTAGGTTTTAAGAAAATAGGCTGTATGTTCTCATCCTTTAAGTGTAGTTTGACTTCCATGTTTGGAATTTCCCCCAAATTTTCGGATAATACATCTGAATATTCGTCAAGGATTTGCTGTAATATTGTATTGTCAAGTTCTGTATTTAAATTTTTCTTCAGCTGTTTCATCGAATTTAGATCAAGGTCAAAGTGTTGTATCCAATCTCTCCCCAGCAAAGCTTCCACTTCTTGTTCAAAAATGTATATTTCGACTTGTTTTTCTTGGGTTCCGTATTTTACATTGACTTTGGATTTTCCCATTGGTGAAATTGATTCTCCTGTGTAAGTTTTTAGCTTTGTTTCAGTTTTTGAAATATGTATATTTGGACATAATGATCTAAATTGTTTTTCAGACATTGTTGATACAGCTGCTCCAGTGTCCAGCTCCATTTTCACGTCATTTCCTTCAATTTTGACTGTTATCAAAAACTTCTGTAACTGATTTATTCTGGATGTAGCCATTTTATTTATTGTAAATTCTTCTGACTCACTGCTTTCTTGATCATTGACCTTGTAAACAGTCTTCTTTTGTGTGTACGTACTTTTCTTTAAGCAAACTGAATCTACATGTCCTTTTGTGTTGCACGTTTTGCAAAAAAGGTTTTTGTTTCTGCATTCATTTGCTTTATGGTTTGATTTTCCACATCTGTAACATTTTCCTTGTAATTTTTGTAAGTCATTTGTATTTGTAGTGTTATTTTTCTTTTTTCTATCATAGAACTTTTCCTCTGGTTTTTGTACTGTATGTCTGTTTCTTGCATGCTGTATTTTATGTATTGTATTTGGCTGCATGATTTGGTTGCTTTCTTTTCTTGAGGTTTCAATTGCAATTGCGAGTTTTACAGCGTCTTCAAAAGATACTGAGTTTTGTTGTAAGATTCTTTCTCGTATGTTGCTATCTCTTATTCCTCGTATAAACTGGGAACGTAAATGTGTATCATTTGTAGATTTCTGACAGCTTGTGCAAACAAAATTACAGTCAGTAGTAAGTTTTTTCAGTTCAGCGACATATTCTTGTATTGTTTCTCCTTCATGTTGTAATCGGGTTGTAAATTTGTGCTGCTCAGCTACTTCGCTTGCTTTGGGTGCTAAGTGGTTTTGTAAAAGATCAATAAGCTCTTTGTAAGTCTTTGTATTTGGCTTATCTGGTGCGGTTAGCTTGGTCAGAGTCTGGTAGACTTTTGGGCTTAGGCAGTCGATCAATACTTGTACCCGAGTCTTTTCCTTTTCTGGTGTATTTCCCATAAGGTCTTGTAAACACAAGTGGTTCTCTAATCGTTGAATGTAACTTGTAAATGACTCGTTCTTGTCATCGTATGGCTGCAATGTAGTACCTACTTTCGGTGTGTTCATAGCTTGTAGAGCTTTGGTGAGCCCCGTTACCAATTCTTCTATATTTGTTGCCATTAGGATGTTAGGATTTTGTACAGGACAAGGATAATGCCTAGAGAGCAGTCAAGGCGGGTTTTCGGAGGCTCCTGAATCACGGATGTATGTTTTGGGATGTAAACGTTTGTAAACGATTTTATTTTTAGGTTATGTACTTGCCGTGCGGGGTTTTTTCTCTCGTCGCCAATTCTGTTGTATATGTAGAGAAACACTGTGCTGAACTTACTTAAATACTATTTATTAAACTATATTTACTTAACAAACTATGATAATTAACGTCTACGTATATTCTAGTGCCGCGCTGTCATTGTTCATTCTGTTGGTAACCCTGAATTGTGTACAGTGGCGTAACAACCTTAAAATCAACCATTTTTATATTTAAGTTCTCTAAAAAACGCCGACAACTTTTTAAACAACAAAATACACCTACGAATTCATGGCAACATGATATTATATATAATACACAATATAATGGTATTTTACGATTGAGTGGAGACTTTAAAGAATTCTTAATCAACGCTTTTAATATTGCTAAATGCTGTTTAAATTTAGACGACTTATTTGTTTGACGATTTTTACTGAATTTATTCTCAAAAACACTCGTTTGTAACAAAAGCGTTTGACAGGTAACTTACGAGAAGGTGGCTGGAGTGTTGTGCACGGAGTTGGCCTTGTTGATGTTGGTGAAATCCATGATGGCGGGGCAAATTTTCATCGGCTTGCCCAGCAGGTCCTCCCTGATGATAACAAAGACGACCCCAGCTGGGCCGATGTTCTTCTGGGCTCCCCCAAAGATACAACCGAACTTGCTGACGTCCACCTTCTTGGTCATGATGCTGGACGACATGTCGGCCACCAGCGGCACGTCGGGGTGGGTCTGCGGGACCGTGTGGAACTCCACGCCGTCTACAGTTTCGTTGTCGCAGTAGTAGAGGTAGGAGGCGTCGGGGTTGCGGGTCCAGGCGGACTCGTTCGGGATGGCGCCCGGCTTGTCGGCCTTGGGGAACACCAGGTTGACGGTCCCGTACTTGGCGGCCTCTTTGGCGGCGGCGGCCGACCACGTGCCGGTGACGGCGTAGTCGGCGCTGCCGGTGCGGTTGATGAGGTTCATCGCGATGGCGGCGAAGCCCCCCAAGCCGCCCCCTTGCATGAAGAGCACGCGGTAGTTGTCCGGTACTTTTCTGAAAAAAAAAATTGGTTAACTTTTTGATTTTTCAAATCCTCTGAAGGGTATTTACATTGTAACGGGTGCGACACTAAAACTGCGTTGTTGATTTTTTGATTTTGGATACAATATTTTAAAAAATATTAAAAAAAAAAAAATTAATTAATCATATATTATATCACGAGAACTATGAATTTAATCGGTTCAACTAGGTTAAATTATTTTGCATGAAACTATTTTCCAAAAAGAAAAATCAAATAAAAAACTTACTGGGCATAGTTTGACAGATTAAATTTATAGGTTGAGTGATATACGTCCAGATTATTTCTCGAATTAAAGGAAACTATTTGACAATTCATAAAATCTGACGTATGTGTCAAAATTTATAAATATTTTTTTAAAGAAAATTCCATTAATTCAATTTATGTAATAAGTAATAATTGATATTTCGTAAACTAGATAACTTATTTTTTATTGTTTTTTAAAAAATGTTTGTTAAAACTTGTAAATAACACCATAAAATCGTAAACAAAAATCCAATATGGAGGCTAAAATTTTATCGCTGTTAAATAGTTCTAGTGATTTAATCGCTTATTTAAACGAAATTTATTCGAAAATTCAAGGCTTTTGATTGGTTCATATTATAGTGAGGGAAATAATCTTTTATTATATCACGAGAACTATGAATTTAATCGGTTAAACTAGGCTCAGTAGTTTTTTGTTTGATTTTTGTTGGAAAATGTTGAATGCAAAATAAATTAATAAAATCACGAGACCGCGTAGCGGTCGAGGGGTTTTAATTTTAATTATTTTGCATGAAACTATTTTCCAAAAAGAAAAATTCAAATAAAAAACTTACTGAGCATAGTTTGACAGATTAAATTTATAGGTTGAGTGATATACGTCTAGATTATTTCTCGAATTAAAGGAAACTATTTGACCATTCATAAAATCTGACGTATGTGTCAAAATTTATAAATATTTTTTTAAAGAAAATTCCATTAATTCAAGGTATGTAATAAGTAATAATTGATATTTCGTAAACTAGATAACTTATTTTTTATTGTTTTTAAAAAATGTTTGTTAAAACTTGTAAATGACACCATAAAATCGCAAACAAAAATCCAATATGGAGGCTAAAATTTAAGGCCGTTGCTAGTCGTCCGTATATTCGGACGATTAATATATTTTATTCATCCGATGATCGGACGATTAGACAAGTCGAAAGGCCGTTGCTAGTCGTCCGATCATCGGATGAATAAAATATATTAATCGTCCGTATATTCGGACGATTAATATATTTTATTCATCCGATGATCGGACGATTAGACAAGTCGAAAGGCTGTTGCTAGTCGTCCGTATAATCGGACGATTAAAATATATTAATCGTCCGGTAATAACATAAATAAATAATAAAAAGATTATCGGACTCAAACTCAACAACACAACCCAACCGACCCCGCCCCATTGGCCCCCCCCCGCCCCATTGAACAAAAAACCCAACTAAAATGGGCAAATTTATGTTACGATAAAAATAAAACACTTTTTAACAAAGCAACAACAAATTTATGAAATAAAAAAAGTTCGACAACTTCTAGTAGTCTACTAGTAGTAGATTTTATGTTACGATAAAACTAAAACAAACCAACCAACCCAACCCAACCGAACACTGTTTAACAAAGAAACAACAAATTTATGAAATAAAAAAATAAAAAAAATTCGACAGCTTCTTAGTATCGAACCCGGGACCTCTCGCATGACAAGCGAACGCCCTACCATATAAGTTATCTAGCTTGTTGTCAAATATTAAACGGTCGGTGAACAAAAGCGAATTATAATTATGACGTAACTAACGTTATGTTATTACCGGACGAATAATATATATTAGTCGTCCTTATGTTCGGACGATTAATATATTTTATTCATCCGATGATCGGACGATTAGACAAGTCGAAAATTTAATCGCTGTTAAAAAGTTCTAGTGATTTAATCGCTTATTTAAACGAAATTTATTCGAAAATTCGAGGCTTTTGATTGGTTCATATTATAATGAGGGAAATAATCTATTATATTTTATTTTGTGTTCAAATGAATTTGTATTTATCTATAGATTATAATTATAGTTTTTTTTTAATAAATTTGATATATTATCAAAATAATCACCATACTATAAAATAAAAATAAAAAAATAAATTTAACTTTACTTACAATAATTCCCTAATGGTTTTTTGTGCATCGTTGTTAATTTTGTCGTATTCCTTTCCCCTGTGACTCATTTCCATTATGCTCATTCCACAGTTTTGATAGCATAGTAACTCTGATTGTACTTCTGATAAAACCTATAATTAAAAATAAATTTTAAGTAAAATTTTTATGACGACTAGTAAAAATTATTTTTTGACTTGCCGAAATTTTTTTTCAAATTGTTTTTAAATTTTTTTTTTTTTTAACTTTCTTAACTAATAGTTTTGGCCTTGTGGCTAAGAAAACAAATTTAATTTAGCAATATAATTTAAAATTTTAGCAACTTGTCAAGATAAGAGGTTTTATAATTAAATAATATTATATTAATAATATTTTGTCCATTCACTTTGTTAGGTACCAAAAAAATTAAAATTTGTAAAATATTTAAAGATTAAATCAAAATAATTTTAAACTAACTAACTAGTAGTTAGTAACTACTAAACTAGTTTATTTTTTATAACTAAAATATTAACAAAAAAAATAATAAACAAAGTTTATTTTGTTAATTTGCTCTAATAAAATATTAAAGCATATGTGCATATGTAGGTATTGTATGCTGCTTTGTTTCCTGTATAAATATTAGTTTAATAAAATTTTATTTGTTAACAAATGATAAATGATTATAAGCAGGTTTTAATTAAATTTATATACTTAAGTAAAATTCAACTCAATTAATTAATTTTAATACCACAATTGTTTTTGTACATACATACAGTGTGACCCATTTGTTTGCGACTCACCCCTGTAAAATCTTTATTTATTGTGCGATTTTAACCGGATTTGTTTTAAAGTGTAGATCTTGATAAACTGTATTTTTGGAGCAAAAGACGCCATATTGGTACAAAATACAAGGCCTACTATGTCAGTTTTTAAAAGTAAATTTTTAAGAATTTACATTAGCGATTTTTTTAAACAAAATCTAAGCACGGCACTGGATTCACCACCCCTCAAAACTACCCTATACTAAATTATATTGAAAAATTTCAAGAAAAAAATGCACAAAAATAACCACAAAAATTTATTTTGTTAAGTTTTCCTTAAAAAAAACATCAAATAAAAATAAAATTAAACTAATATTAACGTTAATAACATGGTACTATTAAACTTATAATTTTATTTCAATGTTTTTTCATGGATAACTTGACAAAATAAACTTTTTTAGTTATTGTGTACTTTTTTTCTTAAATTTTTTTAATAAAATTTAGTATAGGGTCTAATTGAGGGGTGGTGAATCCAGTGCCGTGCTTACATTTTGTTTAAAAAAATCGATAATATGAATTCTTAAAAATTTACTCTTAAAAACTGACATAGTGGGCCTTGTATTTTGTAAAAATATGGCGTTTTTTGCTTCTGGTTAAAATTGCACAATAAATAAAGATTTAACAGGGGTGAGTCGCAAACAAATGGGTCACACTGTATATACCTACAAACTATTTAGGTAAAACTATTATACAGGGTGCAGCCTATTAACACGGAATTTACAAATAGGAAAACAGTAAGCGATTTTTAAAATATTTATAAAAAACGAACACCTTTTAAAACTAAAAATCGTTATTTTTGAGTATTTTAATACAAATAAATCTACATTTGCATAAAAATTTTTCCTACTAAATTTGAAGTTTCTATTAAAAAAAAGTTCATTTTTTTATCTGGACTGCGGCAACGTTGCCAATTTAGGGTTTTGGTTGGCAAATACAGTTGTCAAGTTGGTTGCATTGATTAAAACAAACTAAGCTAGTTTTAAATCTAATTGTGGTTATGTATAAATTATTGTAGGTTACATTGTGCAGTTGTCAAGTTGAGTTGTCGAAATTCGTAGTTAAAAATGCAATTAATTTTGCTTTGGTGGTACTTGGATGAGTAAAATCATATAAAAAGTAGTTAAAAATAGGTTGCTTTACCGCCCAGAAGAGAAAGTATTCCTAGCGGATAATAATCTTCGCTTTGAAATTAATTTATGTAAAAGAAATTAAAATTTTTTGTGAACGTAAATGTTGTCCAATGGTGAATAATGTGAAAATAATGTGTGATGTAATATTTATAAAACCAAATTCGTTACTTTTTTATTCCAAAAATGTCCATAAGGCGATGTACTTTTTCTTCCATTGTGGCATTTGGCATAATTTCATCAAAATGAAGTTTTGCCCTCAAAAGGGCTTTTACATCTTTTTATTTATAATTGACAAGTAAATTATCAATAGTAAATATTATTGTCAATTTGACAGTGTCAAAGTATTTAATTAAATTCTTTAGCAGAAGTACCATTTTTAAATACTAAAAATACTAAGTCAAACTGGCATAAGCCACCAACCTAACAAAAAAACACGAGTCCAGATAAAAAAAATGAACTGTACCATATTTTGTTTTTATAATTGGTTCAAAATCCATAGATAAATAAATAAATTCGATTTTTTTAAATTATTTGAAATAAACGTATTTTAATTCAAATAAAAAAGATCCCATACAAAGAAGGCCCTGCATTATGATTTTTTGACTAAAAAGTAATATTATTATAGGTATTTCCTAGTAAAATAATTTTCACTTTTTTAATAAGTTATTTAACTTAAAAGTGAGAGTCATTTGATAAATATTCATTAATTTGATTGTTTACTTTTTGATATTTCTAGGTCAAGACCTTTATATCTTTTTGTAACAACTAATATGTGAATTTATTTGCAAATGTTTTAATTCTACAAAAAAAAAATGAAAAAAAATATTTTTTTTATTTTGAGTTTTAGATTAAAGTTTTACTATTTTATTTCGAAGAAAGTATTGTAATTTAAAATGTATTCTAAAATATGCATATAATTTTGTATAAAATGTATCCATTCACTTTACATGCTGTGGCATTGAAACCTGTATTAAATTAATCCCAATGTGTATGCTTACAAAAAAAACCTTATAATGCATACTAAACTTACTTCTTTTGGCAATTTTGCTGGTCCAGCGCCAAAGTTGAGTGCGGAAGAGCTGCTACCCATTTTGATTGGTGTGTATGTTCTGTTTTTGTTCACTAACACTGTAGCCCTCTAGCACTTCAATATTTATTTAGTAAAATCGCGTGTCTTGCCAAGAGAATGAACAATACAAATGCACTAGTATTTATACGGAGGTTAGGTCGCACTTTTTCTGTGGTGGGGACTGCTCAAAGATAACGCGTTCGAATGATTTTCGATATCAAGTGGTCGCGCTATTATATATTTTTTTCGAGTTGTTTGTTTGGTGGATTTATAAAAACGTCAGTTGTTCTGTATGTAAACAAAACAATGCGTAAGAAATCTACGGAATGATATAGTTTGAAACGTCAAAGGAGTAGGATTTGTATTAGGTGTTTTAGAATTTTGAAATTGTTTATTCTTTTATCAGTATTGATATACAGGGTGTTCCACAACTCGTGTATTTAATTTTTTTAATTATAATAACAAAAATATTTAAAAATATAAAAATTTGATAATAAACAAAAAAATATTTTAAATAATGAAAATTGGAAAAAAAATTGTCTTTTGAGAAGAAAAGTTTTTCAATTTGTTTTGTGATGGTATTCTTGCAAAATAGAAATCTATTGAAACTTTTACCTTATTTCCACATCTAAATGCAGTACTACGTAAAAAAAATCTCGTCCATTGACAACTTTGTTTTTATTTTTTTAACGTACAGGGGGGGCTGGTGATAATTTAGTTTAAAATTTAACAATTGTTAAAGGGTAAAAAATCGAAGAAGCAACTTTGTTTTATACATTTGAGTATAACACGTTAAAGTATTGATATTTGACTATTATTTGATATATTAACTTTTTTATGCAAATGATGTTTCTGTGGCCAGGATCAGTTTTGAATTAGCAGTAGCAGTATTCATAAATGTTTAGTTTAGTACATTTTGTCATTGTTATACGAATAATGTTGAATCTTTTATTAATAATTAAGTATAGCATAACCCATAAATGACGTTTAATATACAGGGTGATTCACGTACTTAGTCCGTTAGGGAATCGCGAAAGAAATCAATTTAAAATTTTAATAGCGGAAATTATTCGCTTTAGACTTTTTTCCTAAATTATTTAGAACAAAATAATACTTCCTGTTTTACCGGAAATGTCTTTAACTTTGTTTCTTTAAACAGGATACCTCATATATTTTTACATAAAATTCTGAGTAAAATGGCTATAGGTACCATATCCTATACCTACCTAAAGTCAATATTTTTTTAGTTATTAATTTTTTAATCAAATATAATTAATATTTTCTACTCCCACCTTTAAAACGCCCTTTATCGTACATGTTTCCATAACACTAAGTGACCTTTTAAATACACATTGACAGGTTTTTAGTCACGGGCTGAAGTTAGTTTTAAGTTAGTTGACAGTTGTCAAATGGTGGTAACGACGAATATACATATACATATATAGTATACTGTCACATTACACCACAGGTTTTTTGATATGAAAATAGTATTGAAAATATTAGAAATTGTTAAATGTCTCTGAAATTTTAACTAAGGAAACAGTTATTATAATAGGTACCAATCGAAAGATTCTTTAATGTTCTATTTGATTATGTTAAAACATACATGTATGTTTTGTGCACAACCCTGCAGGGTTATACATTTATAATAAAAACGTTATTATTGTTTGGCTTTGGAAGTTGGCCTAATTTCAAGTGGTTTTTCTCAAGGTATTTGTTAAAAAACCTTTAAAAATTAAACAATGTTATATATACATATTCATATATATATATATAATGTTTAATATGTAATATATAATACATTATCTTATAAAACTAGATAAAAGAATATATAATTTGTAAAACACGTTAGTAACTTAAAAATGGTGTCTCTAGAAGTTTATATATCAAATAATAGTACTTTAACGCGATATACTCAAAATTATAAAACAACGTTGCTTCTTCGACTTTTTAACCCTTAAAAATGGTAAAATTTTAAATTAAATTGTCCCCAGCGCCCCCTATAAATAAAAATGTTATTACAAAATATCAAAATTTATCTATTTTTAACACAGTAGAATGACTAAAGGCCTGAAAACCACAGCGGTCAATGGATGAATTTTTTTGTTGTTGAAATAATGTACCATTTAGATGTAGAAACAAGGTTAAAAAATATATTCAATTATGGCAACACTTGCAAAGAACATTTTGGTAACTTATGCTTAATTTATAGCCTAAAAGAAGTTTTTAAATTCCAGTTTGTTTATTTTTTTCTTCTAGGTCATGCAGAAATACTTTTTGTTGATTTTCTCAAAACATATTCGCCCTTTTATATTATTATGATGTAATTATGGTTCTACGTATTACATTGTGGGCTAGGTTATCAAAAAAGTAGACAAAAATAGAATGCCTTATCTCATACATTTAAAATTTTCAAAATAATTATTTTGGATGACGCTGATAACGAATCCGTTGTCGTTATTTTCAAAAAATAAAATGGCGGATCCAATATGACGTATCTACGTACGCTTTTCCGCAAACTGATTCTTTAAACAATTTTTGTGGCTTTACGGCGCTTTAGTCACGGGCTGAAGTTAGTAAAAAGGTTTTTAGTCACGGGCTGAAGTTAGTTTTAAGTTAGTTGACAGTTGTTAAATGTCATACAATCGTTAAAATAAGGTGCCTTTCTTGTAAAATAATACTAAATGTAAAAATTATTTTATTATCTCAATACAAAAATACAAAAGTATTAAATAGTTTCCCAACGCAAATATTTGAAAAGTTTATAAGATACATTTTACTGACCTTTTAATTTCGCCGGCAGTATACTAATTTAAGTTATAGTTTATAATACTAATTTAAGTTATAGTTTATAAACTATAACTTAAATTCGGGCACGGACTGTAAACTGCTCATAAAATATTTTCTTTACTTTCACTGTGAAAAACTGTCAATTTTCAAGAAATACATTTCGATTTATACCCTTTATAATCTGTGTTTATAAAATTTAAAAATGTGACATTTGACGGTGACCCACAGATTCCCCTATTGTTTCATAGATGGCGCTCTATACAAATTTTTGATTTAAATCATTTTAAGATAATAATAAGTGTTATTTGTCGTGGAAAAAGTATAGTATGCACCTCGTTTATAAACTTTTCTATACACTCAATTCGTGTATAAAATGGCGTTTATCAAACTTGATACATAATATACTATAAAATTCTGATTCATTTTATTTTGTAAATGTCTAAATTATGTTATTGCATTTTATTGCTATTTTGTACCTACATAGGTTTGTAATAAAATATTCAATAAAATATTGTTGCTAAGGAGTAATTTTTTTTGTAAATTTTTATTACGATCGCGTCAGTTTTTGCAAAATTTCAGATATCAACAGCAAATTTCAAAAGTATTGTGTAAAGTAATGTTTTGTTTAAATCACTTATATTTATGATGGTATTTCCTAATTTGACCCTCTTGAGGTCATCAAAACATTAAGTCGAGAATTCCATGGAAACTTAAAATCAAATTTCATCATTACAAAAAACATATGAAAAAATATAATCACATCATTATATACATACATTTGTATATAGAGATTTTAAGAGTTAAACTCCATTACATCAGACGAATCTAAATATTAATTTAATGCTATTTTATTTTTTTTAGTTCTTATATGACACTCATTAAAATTTTAAAATAGAAAAAGTAGGTTTTACTTATACAGAGTGAGTCAATTAACTTGAAACTTTGAAATATCTCAGTTATTATGCATTTTACGAAAAAATGTTTAAAGTAAAAATTAAATTAAATTTTTTCATATTTGTAATATATGGCGCTGTAATGAAAAAAATCAATTTTGTTTGATTTTTCTTTTGTATACGATTCTGCAATAATTTTTCTATAAAAAATGACTCTTTTTGGTAATAATTATCTTATTAAATTAAATCTCATTTTTTTAAGTAGGTACCCACGATTTTTTAACTAATATTTAAGTTTCCTTTGGTTTAAGTTTTATATATAAAAATAATGTATACATTATTTCATTCGGTGATAATTATCAATTGCGCACCATGGTCACTTTTTACCTGCCAGCATTAAATTAATAATTTAAAGGATTATTAATAATTATCTTATTAAATTAAATCTCATTTTTTTAAGTACCTACCCACGATTTTTTAACTAATATTTAAGTTTCCTTTGGTTTAAGTTTTATATATAGAAATAATGTAGGTATACATTATTTCATTCGGTGATTATTATCAATTGCGCACCATGGTCACTTTTTACCTGCCAGCATTAAATTAAAGGATTATTGTCAGTGGCGGATTGGGGATTTTGGGTATACCAATATCTCAGTTATTAGACATGGGACCCACACCAAATTTATAATAGTTTATTATGACATTAAATAGACAAGTTCGGCGCAAACAGAATTTAAATTGAAGTTTGCGAAAAAAAGTTAGTTTTTTGTGTCGCCTCACCTGGCTTCTGCCCCCCCCATTTGGTATAATTCAAATTAAAGTGGTGCAATTTATACTACACTATAATTTATCGACAAATTTAAAATTTTATTTAAAAAATATAAATATTACAGATTTTATACGATTTTAAATTTTTATTATTTATTTTATTATAATAAAAAAATATTTAATATGGTATAAAATCTGTAATATTTGGATTTTTCAAATAAAATTTTAAATTTACCGATAAATTATAGTAAAGTATAAATTGCACAACTTTAATTTGAATTATCTCAAATGGGGGGGGCAGAAGCCAGGTGAGGCGACACAAAAAACTAACTTTTTTTCGCAAACTTCAATTTAAATTCTGTTTGCGCCGAACTTGTCTATTTAATGTCATAATAAACTATTATAAATTTGGTGTGGGTCCCATGTCTAATAACTGAGATATTGGTATACCCAAAATCCCCAATAACTTATTGTACTATTTTTAATAAAAATACCTCATTTAAGGTAAAAAAAACATTATTTTGTCAATTAATTAATTTAATTCTAATTGAGGTGTAAAAAAATGGTATTTAGTTATAAATAATAATTATTATTGAGGTATAAAGAAACTATTTATACATAGTTTAGCATTATTTAATCAATATAGTTCGAAGATTAATTTGCAAACAAAAAGACCGCCTTTTGTTAGGCAGTTATTCATAATGGATTTTTTAACAGTGGAAGAAAAAATAGAAACGATTTTGGTTTATGGAGAAGCAGGCAGGAATCTTGATGATGCTGTTAATATCTACGCTCAGCGTTTTCCGGATAAAATTCGATCACGTTCTTCATTTCACCGCACAGTCAAGCAGTTTACTACAAACGGGAGTGTTCAACCGAAAAAAAAAAAAAGTTCTACAATAAGTTCTACTGCATCAATACGGCTCTGGTTGTAATGTTTTCATTACAAATGTTCCTACTTCCTGTTAAAATTTTATTAAAAAATTCTATCGATAACAATAATTAATATTATGTAAACATTCACTGTTTATCAAAACTATCCGGAATAATTCGGATTTTACCCCATGACCCAGTCTACATAATTATAATCATAATACTTTTAATTTCCGATTTAAGTGTCAATGGACATTAGAATTTGTACTACTTTGGATACTGCATATTTAAATGCGTGTTAGTTCGAATAATGGTGTAGCTTCTCCTATTTCCGCCGGGAGAAATTCATTTTCTTGATCACTTTGTATAATTGGATATACAATTATTGTAATTTTAGATAATATTTTATAAATGCGTTGATTTAAACTTTAAATGGTGTTATCAAAAATATATGTATATATTTCTATGTATACGAGGTGTGTTCAGAAAATATCGGGAATTTTACTTTTTTGAAACAAATATTTATTTATTCGTCTACATTAATGTTGTCGCCTTCAAAATAGTCCCCATTGGATATTATACACATGTGCTAGCTCTTCTTCCAATACTCGAAACACTTCTAAAACTCGATCTTTGGGATAGCCTTTAGTTCTTTCAGCGATGCGCTTTTAATGTCATCTATGCTTGCAAAACGACGGCCCTTTAAGGTTCTCTTTATTTTTGGGAATAGGAAAAAGTCAGACAGAGGCATGTCTGGCGAATATGGAGGCTGGGGCATCGTTACAGTATTGTTTTTGGCCAAAAATTTTGTTCAAAATTTAACAATTTTAGAACAAATTTTGCTGCCACGCGTTTCATACCCAAAACATTCGAAAAAATTTCATGGGATGGGTAGAGAAAATTTTATAACAACCGGACCCTCCGAACCCGCGAAATTTAACATTTCCCGATATTTTCTGAACGCACCTCGTATATATTTCTATGTATACTTTGTCAAGTATAATACATCTTTGGATCCATCCATGTAAAATTTCAATATGGCGGCCATAGAAAGAAAAAGAGATGGTGGTGGTAACTCAAATTCTATTAGGCGAAAAACTCATAAATTGGATGAAAACTGTTCTTTGAACTAACGACCTTGTAAATAAAAAATATGGTTGTATTGTTTTTTTTAATCACGTGGTACTGGTATTGGACAATTAACATTAATACTGTAAAAACAGCAAAGAACAGGGCTGTGTTTAAATTACAATAAAAAATATTTCTAAAAAGTGTACAGATGAGTGTGTGGTATAAATGTGTTCCTCATGGTTTAAACATTGCCACTTTAATGCGATTTAATTTTAATTCTGAAAACAAACAGTAAAATGGCCAGTGTCCAATTACTGGTAGGTAAAAAATGTAAATTTCTATTATTGGACATATTTCCAATATCATACTCTATTGTTATCCCGGACATTCACCAGCCATTTCTTATGAAAAAATTGTCCCCTGAATCCAAAAAGACCGTCAAAAACTATAAAAGTTAAGCAGTTTTTGAGATATAGTCAATTCCATATTACATGTAAAATTGATTATATTTTAAAAACTGTTCTACTTTTATAACTTTTGACGACATTTTCGGATTTAGCGAATAATATTTCATAGGAATTGACTGCTAAATGTCCTGGATACAAGTTGCTGTTGACGAGAATTATTAGTGGCTGCTTTTTCGCTATGACATTTTTGACTAGTTCATTTTTAGAGAGTAAGTAGTATAGTGATTTCTTCGGCACAGGACATCTTGCAGAATAACAATGATTTAAATACAGTGCATGATAGAGAACATAAAAAACTAATGGCAACAAAATTAATAAATTCGGAAAGTACTTTTAACATACCACCCAAAAAAATATTAGATATATAATATAAATCATCCTGTTCCGGCCTAAACATTATAAATGCTTTACAAACTTAATGATATTTGCAACAAACTATTTCAGAAGTCAGACCAAGGAATTAGTAGTTACCTTCAGAATCCAGAAAAGGGATGAGGAATCCGAGAAAGAAATATATGAATTATATGATATTTACAAAAACGAAATAAAAAAAATACCTAAAAGAGTATTTTTAAAAAGTATTTAACAATTTATGTTATTTGATGTAAAGTTGTTATGTTTATATAACGCTATGTGAAATAAGTTGGCAACCCTTGGTGGTCTACGCCGCGACGCTCAAACCAAATAAGTGATTCAGCAACATGTGTCACACAATGGAGTGACTTCCCGGCGCAGATCAATACATTGTTATTTAGTCTCATTTTGCCCTTTAACGTGATTTAATTTGCCACTTCGCCTTCTCTGTTTACCGCTGGTGCTATAAAGGCACAAAAAATACAACAGTAGGCTTTTGGTATTGACTTATGCTTTTAACATATGAGTGTGAGATACGGTAAGCTACCACCTTTAATTTTTTTACGTTTAAATGCATTATATTTAGGAAATTCGTTTTGGTTTTAATCCTAATCAACTTTTTTAGATGCCAAAAATGGACAACTCCAATTTTGGTTATGCATATCAGCTGCCCACCGGTGGATGGGCACTAAAAATTCGTAACATTTTATCTCAGTTTAGTGATATTTTTAGCGAGTTTGATAAATATATCGCTCCAGCTTATCATCATGATCGTTGTGAAAGGTAATAATTTATATTTGTGTTGAATAACTATAATTAAGTGTCAAATTTCATTTAGAAAAATAAAAAACACTAAAGGGCCATTCCACGCGTAACGGATGGGACAGTTGCATGTTTTTATTTACAAAATAATATTGTTCTATTATATTACTAATGTCAAATTTTTATAAATATTTCTAAACAAAAGCTGTTTAACAAGGTTTTTATTTGGCAAAAGTAGGTATCGTAATTGTACGTTTAATTCCTTAAAAAATAATTTTTAAGGAATTAAACGGTCAACCACGATACCTAATTTTGTCAAATAAAAACCTTGTTAAACAGCTTTTGTTTAGAACTATTTATAAAAATTTAACATTAGTAATATAATAGAACAATGTTATTTTGTAAATAAAAACTTGCAACTGTCCCATCCGTTACGCGGTTTACATTTATAAATTTAAAATATTTAATTTGGACATATTTTTTCCAATTAATTTGTAAAAAATTTCTACCTATCATTTTTTAATAAAAATAATTTCTTAAGTATAATTTATTTGGGCAGAATTTTGTAAATTATAAATAAATTTTTTATAAAATTATTTAGATTAAATTGGTAAAGTTAAATTTGTTAGTATTTAAAAATTGTATCGAGACTTTTAAAATAAAAATACTTATCAAACATTTTATTTATTTATTTTATTTACACATCTGGAGTACAAACAGGACTAACCTAAAAATAAGTACTCACTTATAAAAAAAATATAACCGTAAACATCCTATAATTACAAATCATACATTATATATAAATAATAATAATAATTCCACCAAAATAGTTTAAAAAGTAAAATTTTTTTAATCTCAAAACAACTGATAATCACAAAATATTTTAAATATAAAATCCAAATGTAAAAGTTTAAGTTTATAATATTGGTTTTTAAAAATTGTAGTTCGAATATATTATTCTACAAAATTAAATGATAGTTGATAATATTTTAATCCAAAAATTATCACTTATTAATTTAAACCAATAATTTTGTAGAATAACATATTTGAACTAAAATTTAAAAAAATCAATATTTTTATGCTTAAAGTTTTACAGTTGTATTTTATATTTAAACAATTTTTTAAAAAGAGCGTTATTTTTAGGGCACCCTGTATTAGTACATAATAATAATAATACAAATAATTTACATCCAAATATAAGAATATTTTAAATTTTAAATATTCTAGATTCTAAATTAATTTAATAATTAACCCCTGCGCATCCGCCATTTTATAAACTTTTTTTTATCAAATAACATAAATTGTTAAATATTTTTCAAAGATAAATTGCTGTTTTAGGTTATTTTTTTTATTTCGTTTTTGTAAATATCATATAATTCATATATTTCTTTCTCGGATTCCTCATCCCTTTTCTGGATTCTGAAGGTAACTAATAATTCCTTGGTCTGACTTCTAAAATAGTTTGTTGCAAATATCATTAAGTGTGGTATCTCTAGTTTGTGAAGCATTTATATGATGATTTATATAGGTATATATCTAATATTTTTTTGGGTGGTATGTTAAAAGTATTTTTCGAATTAATTTTGTTGCCATTAGTTTTTTATGTTCTCTATCATGCGCTGTTATTCTGCAAGATGTCCTGTGACGAAGAAATTACTATATTACTTACTCTCTAAAAATGAATTAGTCAAAAATGTCATAGCGAAAAAGCAGCCATTTGTATCCAGGACATTTAGCAGTCAATTCCTTTGAAATATTATTCTCTCAATCCGAAAATGTCGTAAAAAGTTATAAAAGTAGAACAGTTTTTAAAATATAATCAATTTTACATATAATATGGAATTGACTATATCTCAAAAACTGCTTAACTTTTATAGTTTCGGATTCAGGGGACAATTTTACATAAGAATTGGCTGGTAAATGTCCGGGATACTAATAGAGTATGATATGATCATTCCACATTTGTGTATTTTTGAGACACTCTGTATATCTATTGTTTCTTTTAGGTCCGTTCAAATGCGTCTTTATTCGATGAATAAACGGGAATTTGTTATGGTTTTTATAGCATTTTTTGCCTGTTTTGGGCTAGGAGTATTTGTAGGAATAACTGGTATGTATCATAGTATATTATTATACGAGAGATAATGCAGGTTATTATTCACGAGGTTTGCGTCTTGAGACGTCGGACGAGAGACTGAAATCACTGATGCCTAACAACGTGAATAATAAGTTCATTATAAATAATGTTTATTATTATTCAATATATAATATATATATATATATATATATATATATATATATATATATGAGTAGATAAAATTAATTATAATTATAAGTACATGTGGAAATTTAATATTTTTACAAGTTTAATAACTTTGGTTACTTCTTTAAGGTCCTCCCATTACGAGTACTGTAGAACTGGATGGTAAAACCTTATTACCCAAGGATAACCAAAATCAAACAAATATAAAGGATATGGCGACAGGACCTTTTACAATGAGAACACCACCTATGACAACCTATTCTCAACAACTTTGGGTGATTGCCAAACTGTCAACAGACAATGTAGACGGTAAAATAAACATGTTAAATCAAATTTTTATTTATTAAAAACCATTTTTTTAGGAGAAATAATTGATAAAATATTCCACGTCGCCATTAATATACAGGGTGTTAATGAAGAGCACAAACCTGTTACGATACTCGACAGTAATAATGCCAACAACAGGTTAATACAATTTATAAGTCAATTAATTACACTAGTTTACAGACATTTTGCCCACCATGTCTCACTATGATTTTACAAAATAAAAGAAAAATCGTCAAAAAGCTGAATTTTGGTCTTCCACAAAAAAATTCATAACTTTGCCATTTTCCATGAATTTTTATCAACATTACCTTGTTTCTTTTGTAAAAATGTCAGCTTCAAGAAAAAATTCAAACTGGAGTTATCTGTTTGATTTAAACGTTTCCCAGGACGATATGTAAATTTTCTACCTCAATTTTTGCCATAAAATCGATCAATTAGATTTCAAACTAAACTCAAAATCGTCAAAACACCTCCAAAAATTCAAAATACTCAGTGTTATTTTAATATATTAATAATCTTGCATTTTTTAGGTCGAGGCATTTAAAGTGCGAAAAACAAAGTTGCGATGAATTTATTGTTTTGCACCTGGGTTTCTTGGACTACACCCACTATATTATTACCGTTAACTTTTACGGTCTAGAGTTATTTCATAAAATAAATAACATCAATGAACTGTTTTTCTACGTAAGTTGAATTATATAGTAATTATGCGCAAAGGATAGTGTTTTACCAACAACTTTAGACAATTAAAGAAAATAGACGCGTAACGCCTATTTCAAAAATCGCATCTCTTTCTTTAAAACAATAATAATATATTAATTACAGTTTAAGACATACAATCCCAGATTCACCCAGATCGAAATTTGGTTTAGGTTCATCTTTCTTATATCAACTTTTGTGGTGACGGTAAGTAATTGCCCTGTTTGTAAATTTAATTCATTCAACATTTTTTTAGTGGTGGTTTGCACATACATTAAGAAAATATGCTATTTATGATTGGTCCATTGAACAAAAATGGATGTCTGCGCTTCTTCCTTTACTAATGACGTATAACAGTAAGTTTGTTAATTTTTATGAATTTTTTAATAGGATATTCTGGGGTAATTAAAGCCCAGATAACACACAAAGTCTTGAAGATGTCTTTTGTATGTCTGTATTATGCATGTGCGTCTGAAGATATAAAAAAAACATCTGAAAGACGTCTTAAAGATATCTTCAATAAATGTTCTAAAGACATCTTATAAAAGCCTGATACCGCCGTTTATTTTTTTTTTTAATTTTTTGATAAAATAGTGAATTTTGACAAGTCAAAATCGAAATTATATCCATAATCAGCAACTTAGAATTAATAGGCAGAAATAAATATGTAACAATTTAAAAAAAAATATTTTTTACCTTAAAAAGGTTTTGGAGATGTAGCAATGGATAACCAAGATGTTTTCAATAGGTAGTCTTTAACATCCTAAATACGTCTTATCTACGTTTAGCAACGACTTAATGATGCCGTTAAAAGAACATCTTAAAGACGCTGTGTTTTGTAACATTAGATATCTTAATGGCGTCTAAAAGATAACTTACATCGTAAACTATACATCTTAGAGGTGTCATAAACAACATCTTTAAGATATCTTTAAGATGTGCTATCTGGGAAGTACTTCAAAATGGCAATGGAATTTAATCTACTTTAGGTATCATCAGTCATTTATATAAAAAATAATAGCTAGAATAAGTAGACAGTTATTGGACACTTTATAGTTATTGGACAATTAACATTAATACCGTACAAACAAGAGTTCTATAAATATTAACCTTAAAGTCAAATCATTAGATGTATACAATTATAACTCAGTCGGTAATAATATAGAACTACTTTATTTTGGGTCCAATATAGGACAAAAAGTTCGCACGTTACTTTGGTGGTAAGATTTTTGTTTTTTTTGTTCAGAGCAGGGCTGTGTTTAAATTAAAATAAAAAATACCAGCCAATTCTTATGTAAAATTGTCCCCTGAATCCGAAAAGACCGTCAAAAGCTATAAAAGTTTAGCAGTTTTTGAGATATAGTCAATTCCATATTATATGTAAAATTGATTATATTTCAAAAACTGTTCTACTTTTATAACTTTTAACGACATTTTCGGATTCAGCGAAAAATATTTCATAGGAATTGACTGCTTAATGTCCTCGATACAAATTGCTGTTGACGAGAATTATTAGTGGCTGCTTTTTCGCTATGACATTTTTAGAGAGTAATATAGTGATTTCTTCGTCACAGGACAACTTGCAGAATAACAATGATTTAAATAAAGTGCATGATAGAGAACATAAAAAACTAATGGCGACAAAATATTAGATATATATAAATCATCCTGTTCCGGCCTAAACATTAGAGATACTACACTTAATGATATTTGCAACAAACTATTTCAGAAGTCAGACCAAGGAATTAGTAGTTACCTTCAGAATCCAGAAAAGGGATGAGGAATCCGAGAAAGAAATATATGAATCAAATGATATTTACAAAAAAGAAATAAAAAAATTACCTAAAACAGCATATTTATGTTTATAAATATTTAACAATTTATGTTATTTGATGTAAAGTTGTTATGTTTATATAAAAATTGTATGCCCAATAACTATGGTCCATATGGTCCTATGGTACTATATAAAATGTCCAATTACTATACTTTTTTGCATGTCTTTATAAAACTATTATTAAACATTTTTTAGATCCAATTTTTCCAATGTCGTTCCTATGTAATTCGTGGATTCCTGGAATGATAGATGCTGTGGCTCAAGCCACCTTTCTCTGCGCCTTACTGCTTTTTTGGCTGTGTATTTATCATGGTCTTAGACAGGTAATATATTACTCCATTAATAGTAATTTTTATAAGGTGTCCACACCTCAGAAAAATCTTGGTATATGTTACTGTTTTCATGCCTTATTAATAAAAAATCATCAAATGAAGCCAAGGCCAAGGACAAAAATTGTGTTATTATCCTGAGTGAATTTTTCAAACCAACACAGCAAACGGAAGAATATTGAAGTGTTTTGGATGACGCCACGTTTGAATATAGTTTTCTAAACCCTCGCCACGGTATAGAGTTGTATTCGTCGGTCGAGCGTTTCAATACTCTCCACAGTATAGAGCTCGTAATTTGACTTTTGAACTAGTATTAATATGAATATTATTTTATGCTTAAAAAAACTATATACGACATGATTGTGATTTTTTTCATTTTATTAATTAATTAAGCTGTGTTGAATATTTTTCCTAAACGAATAATTGCCATTGGGCCATTAATTTATTTGTTCGTAGATGCTACAATAACCTGCACTGGTGTGTACTTTTTGATCAACCAGATTTAAATATTGCTGTACTAACATATACCAGTGGAGATAGTGCAGGGTCAACCAACAGACCTCATTACTAAATTATTAAAGCAAATTAATAGCATATCGATCATGTTTTCAACATAACCTCTAAAAAATTTAATACAAATATAGGTACTTTATATAATACATAAATATACTTTATGCACGATGACATTATAATATAACAATTATAACAAAAATTCTTTGACGTAAACGTCTTTTTATAGCCCGCGGGCGTTATTATGACCCAGCGGGCTATAATAAAACGTCAAAAATTAAAAACAACAATGTTACACCATTTGCTATATTCGAAGTAAGTTTTTTCGTATAAAGATTTTGATTTTTTCGGCAGCAGGCCGCAATTTTTCGCCTTTTCAGCTGCTTCCTCAATTTCATTCATCTTTAAACTTTAAAACTGACTGATGTCAGTTGACATTATAATATGACAATTATAACAAAAATTCTTTGACGTAAACGTCTTTAAAAACAATAATATATTAAAAATAATAATATATTAATCGTGCATAAAGTTTTGTATGCATTGCTGGCATAACTGGTTTTTATGGTCCTACGACGCTTTTCTAGCCCTCGCGCTAACGCGCTCGGGCTCGAAATAGCGCCTCGGACCATAAAAACCTTATTATGCCCTTAATACATAAATAACTATTACATCATATCCTCTGTGCTTTACATACCATAGTTGTTACGGTAAATAAAAATCAGACAAAGGAACGAAAGAAAGGATCTATTTTCAACAAAATCATATGCAGAAATGGGAGTATTCAAAATACTTGCATCCACAAAAGATCAAAACTTCTTGCAATACTGAATTACACCCTCTTTTTATGCTCTCAGAAATATTGACTAGAACAGTATTATAATAGAGAGTAATAGAACAGTATTATAATAGAGAGACTCCAGTTTCTATAACCTGGTAGAGTAAAGAGAAGTCGAAACCGTTGCGATATTGCATTGCACTGTTTTTGTATAATTCTCGGGGACATTAACGAAAATCATTGCAAGTAAAATTCGAAAAGCTTGAGTTTCTATGTCTTTGAAGAGAATAAGAATCCGAAGTTTCTGCACCATTGGACTGCCCCCTTTTTCAATAATTTCTAGAGACTTAAATGTCTGCGCCATTCGACAGGGTCGAGTTTCTACCTCTCTGTTGAATATAGAAAATCAAAACAATGTATCTTGCAAGACACCATTGAGTTTGACATAAATATAGTCGTACATAAAAATGTAAAAACAAAGCACGATTCAATACAGTTCTGATAAAGCTTCTGATAAACGGGGAGTCATCCTATATACTTCTATATTTTTTCGTTTGCTGTGAATTGATGTTAAAAATGTGCCTCCATTTTAAAACTTTTGATATAAAAATTGTTATAAAAAGTTATGTACATTTTCTGATTTTTTTTTAGAATGAACGTAATTTGGTAACGTTTTACTTACCGAAAGTTTTTACTGTGGCCATGCTGTGGTTTCCTGCTATAATCCTGTCAACTTGGCAGAGATACAACGAACTTCAGGATCCAACTTATAATCATAACGTGGATACATCAAATTTTTATGTAAGTTTATATCACGATAGACGTTTTTCTGGTGAATATATTGAGATGTCCCCCAAGTGAAAATGATTATTTTTTATTTTTGGTTGTTTCACTGTTAGTCTAGAATGGGGTTTTTGGGAAGCTACCAGGTCTAGTAATAACATAACATAAGTGGTTCTGCACTAATACAAGAATTTTAAGAAATCATACATTTTGAATATTAGAGCTTCACGGAAGATAGCTTCACGGAGGTTAGGTTTTAGTTTGTTTTTTTTAAATCATCCCTTTGTATATTTAAAATAAGTCATTGTATCTTTTGACTCCTTAATATTTTTTAAAAATACAATGGTACACACAAAATATTTATAAAAAAATCTCCTTACTGAGATATTACACTTCACGGTGGATAGGTTTTTAAATAGCAAATTAATAAACCTAAACTTTTGAATTATAAAACAGCAACACTCTCATCTGAATATAAATTCTAACTGACTTTCAGGAATCACATGCATCTATAATGTCGTAAACAGAGGTTTTTGCTTATTTAAAATGATTAAAGCGCCATCCGTTGCATAAAATTTAAAGCAAAAACAGATTCACGGAGTATAGAATCAATTTTTCAACACCTACATAAATGGTTATAAAAAATATTTCTTTTAATTTTTAATAATGTTTTGTATTTGATTTGATTGCTTTGGATGTGTTTACTTAGTGAACTTCCCAGTATATATTTAAATATTTTTTCTTAAAAATTGAAAACATTATTTTTTATTGTTGCAGATAGTGAAGGCGTTTTTCTTCATATTTGGATTTATATATTTAATATATTTACTATTACTAATATTAAGAGCGTATACCGAACTAAGATCCATGCCATTTTTCGGTAAGATAAAGATATAAAAATCTTTTGCCAGAATTGAATAATTAATTACTTGTTACACTTTTAGGATTAAGGTTAAAATTTCTGACGCTTCTAATGTTAATCGTGATGGTTATTACCTGCGTGGTAACAGTATTAAGGTTCGGTGTGGGTGTTTTGGAAGATAACTTTGTTGCGCAGCTTTCTACCCATTACGACAGTTCTGCGCAGTTCATGTCTTTCTATGGTTTGCTGAACTTTTATATCTATACTATGGCGTATGTTTACAGTCCTACCAACAAAGATGCACATGGTAAGTTTTATTAAATAATAATAAAAAGTATTAAAATGTATGGCATAGTGGTTTATTTAAAATTTATATATGCCGTTGTTTTAAAGATTTTAGTTTTTTTCTTATAAATATATAAAAAGGATAGTTTGTTTTTTTAAACTTTATTTACGTTTACTTAAAAATAAGAATATTTGAATTTTTAATATTAGTTTTATTATAATAAAAACATGCAAAACATGCAAAAAGTATAGTAATTGGACATTTTATATAGTAATTGGACACATGGACCATAGTTATTGGACATACAATTTTTATACAAACACAACAACTTTACATCAAATAGAGTCATTCCAAATAAAAACAAAAACAAATTGAGGATGATCTTTTAGGTATCAAATATGAAAATCCGTTGCCGCTTTAATTTTTGGGTTCTTTACTTTTAATCGGCACCCTTTGGAAATCTGAAATCGTGTCAATTTCTTACTCTCTTATAGTGGGCCAGAATTTTTTTCTGTGACAAATATTAAAATGATTTTAATTTTGTTTTACTGTTCAGTAAGTGTGTTTTCAATATAAATTATTATTATCCAATTAGTTAATCTCATAAAAGAATGGTAAACCACTAAAGATTCATGATAATTTGCCAATTTTTGTGATTTTTGTCTGGCTCCTGTGCCTATTCTACTAAATCTAGAAAGTTACTTTTTTTCAGGTATCAAGTACTTATACAATAGAAAACGTAACTATTATTTTAAGTTTCTAGACTATCATTTTCTTAAAAAAATTATTGAAACTTGATAATTTTCAAAATTAGCCAATTTTGCCCTCAGAAATCATTATGTTGAGGAAAAAATAAAAATTTGAAACTTTCAGGAAATGTAGTCCCCACCTTCATCTTTTCAGTCTAGTTATTCTTGTTTTGTTATTTTTATTCATAATAATTTTTTTAATGCAGTTAAGAAGCTATATTGTTAGTTTTATTTATAATTTAAAATTTAGATGGCTTTGACTTAGTCAATTCATGTTTGGTGGAGAAAGGTCAGAACTGTCAAAAATATTTCATAAATATTATTTGTGCGTATTTAAATTGTGATTTCAAAAAGTTTGCAAGTTTGCAAGTGTAATAAATGACGGAGTGTTCGAGATTCATGAATTTAATTGCAATTAAAAATGCAGAACATATCATAATTTTGTACCTCTTTCTCATAGAAAATATTCAAGTTCTGAGAAGTTTTAAATTGTTAAAAATAAGCAAAAACCAAAAAATATTCTAAATAAACCCCTTTATTATAATATGTTTTATTTTAACCAGTTACCTAAAAACTAAAATTTAAAGAAGTATTTACAGATTGTGTACATTTTTTCCAACACTAACATTTAAAATACATACATATAACTTTTAACTATTCAGTGCCTTACTAAAGGGATCAAAATAATAGAACAAGACTAACTTGGTTTAAATTGTGAAAGAAACCGACAAAAACTGCTTAACGCATTTTTTATACGTTTAAATTAACTTTATATTAATTTCACTTATTATACTTATACGATATAAACCTTAAAGATCTTGAATATATTTTTTACATTCTTCTTCTTTAAACACCAATTAGCCAATTAAATACTTCATTATAATATATATAATATATAATCATTTATATATATATATATTCATAATATGATAATATATTATATGATTATACAATACATAAAATATATCATAACTACCAAATATATCAAAACTGTCAAAAATATTTCATAATTATTATTTGTGGTATTCCTTTGGTGATTTAAAAAAGTTTTGTATGTAACATAATATGACATATTATGTTATATACAAAATTTACCAAAGAAATATGCACACATAATATTTCTGACACTTCTCCATCAAACATGAAAGCCATCCAAATTTTAAATTATAAATAAAACTAACAATATCGCTACTAAACGGGCATTAAAAAATTAATATATCTTTTAAAGGAATAAAAATAACAAAACAAGACTAACTGGACTGAAAGAATGAAGGTGGGAACTATATTTCCTGAAAGTTTCAGATTTTTATTTTTTCCTCAACATAATGATTTCTGAGGGCAAAATTGGCTAATTTTGAAAATTATCAAGTTTCAATAATTTTTTTAATAAAGAAAATGACAGTCTAGGAACTTAAAATATTAGTTACGTTTTCTATTGTATAAGTACTTGATACCTGAAAAAAAATAACTTTCTAGATTTAGTAGAATAGGCATAGGAGCCAGACAAAAATTGGCAAATTATCATGAATCTTTGGTGGTTTACCATTCTTTTATGAAATTAACTAATTGGATAATAATAATTTATATCGAAAACAAACTTACTGAACAGTAAAACAAAATTAAAATCATTTCAATATTTGTCACAGAAAAAAATTCTGGCCCACTATAAGAGAGTAAGAAATTGACACGATTTCAGATTTCTAAAGGGTGCCGATTAAAAGTAAAGAATCCAAAAATTAAAACGGCAACGGATTTTCATATTTGATACCTAAAAGATCATCCTCATTTTTTTTATCAAAATAAAAAATCAAGCAGCGCACCCCAATAAAATATATTTTGTTTTAGAATTTGGTATAACAAAGGACAACCCTGCTTTCTCGATGATAAACGATTCCGACGAAGATGTGATTTATGGGTCAGACGAAGAAAGCAGAAGGCCCCTGAACAGGGGCAGAAACGACGACGATAGTGACTGACTGAAAAGTATTAAAGATGGCGAGGACCCTGAAAGTTAGTCCTTTACGCCGGTTTTCAAACGACTTGTAAATGTTATGACGTTATGATGTGTGTGTTCTATCTGTAGATAACAAAACAGATGTTTATTGTTGGTGATGAAGAAACCTAAACCCCTTATCAATACAAATGTTTTTAAATAATATTTTGGTAATTTGCAAAGTGCTTATCAAGTAAAAAACATTTGCAATTAATTTTGAATGAAATACTGGGTGGTCATACGAAAACGAAACACCCTATGAATCCCATGGATTTGTTTAGTTTGGTTTTTGATGGGCCACCCTGCATTTTAATACTCTTATATTATAAAAAACGATTTTCTCATCTTCTGGGAATGTTTACCTATTTATTTATTTATTTTTAAATATTATTGTTCTATAATATATAATATACTTTGTTTTATTAATAAAGACATTTAATAAACCTTAAGTGGGTATTTTTACAATTTTTCCAGTATCTACCTTATTATAAATACAGCCCTGATAGCAAAATATGATTTTAAGAATCTTCTAAGAAGATTCTTAGAACCTTCTCTTATTGCTAAGAATGTTCTTAGGGACTTTTGGATGCAATTAGATTCTTAAAAGCTTCTTAAAAAGCATCCCAAGAACATTTTAAGAATACGTTTTTGGAATGTTCTTAGAAGGTTTCTTATGGAGCTTCTAGGAAGCTTTTGAGAATATTTCCAAATATGTCAGATAACCACGTTCTAATATGTTGGATTCTACATTCCTAAAATTCGACAAATACGCCTCACTGTCATAATATGACAGTGAAATGTATTTGTCGTCCCCTTAAAAAATTTTGCGACATATTAATATATATTTATTTAAAAATATTAAATAAACAATTTGACCTCTAAACCATAAGTTGTATGACATTATTTCATAAAATGTAAAATTGGAAAATTTTGTGGGATAAGTCAGATTAGATTTAAGTTGAAGATTATTATACATAAAAATGTTAATTCAGAAATAAAAAATCGGTATACAAATTAATAAATATTTATTTTTAACATAAAATAAAATACCTATGGTAAAAGTATTTTTGTTATCGAATATTGTTATAATTTGACAAATAACTATAAAAAAATATTTTGGATTGTGTTTTTTACTTAGTATTTAATACTAATTACTAATTAGGTACTTAAGTATAGGTATATACCTTTATATGCAGTTTATGGTATATTTTACTATTATTTAGGTAACTGAACTAAATATGCTTAACAGGAATATTCCTAAATGAACTTTCTATAGCAATTACTTTCTTAACATTCTAAGGATATTTTTACCACTAAAACTTTGCACCTTCTAAGAACCTGTTATGGTTATGAATCGAAATGTATTTCTTGAAAATTGACAGTTTTTCACAGTGAAAGTAAAGAAAATGTTTTATGAGCACTTTACAGTGGAGTCCGTGCCCGAATTTAAGTTATAGTTTACTGCCGGCGAAATTAAAAGGTCAGTACAATGTTCATATAAACTTTTCAAATATTGGCGTTGAGAAACTATTTAATACTTTTGTATTTTTGTAATGAGATAATAAAATAATTTTCACATTTAGTATTATTTTAGAAGAAAGGCAATTTATTTTAACGATTGTATGACATTTGATAACTGTCAACTAACTTCAGCCCGTGACTAAAAACCTGTTGCTAACTTCAGTCCGTGACTAAAGCGCCACAAAGCCACAACTTGTCAATGTGTATTTAAAAGGTCACTTAGTGTCATGGAAACATAAGGGCGTTTTAAAGGTGGGAGTAGAAAAAATATATTTTACAATTCTTACAAAATGTTATTTCTGTTCTACTAATTTTAAGCCCCCAGAATATATGACATGTCATCTATACATATTATTTTTATTGTCTATGGTTTATTTCAATTTTGATTTTTTTTGAAAATTGCCTACACTTATATTTTCTTTGAAATAAAACTCTATTTAGTATTTTATATAGATATATTTAGGTATATAATTATTTAAACGACATTACAAATACATTTTCCATATAATTCAGAGATTTAGAGTCTATGCAAGGCATTTAATATATTTAATATTTTTACAAATTGTATAATTTTATTAAATATTATTATAATTTTTAAAACCATATATTATTGATTTGTCATTTAATATGCCTTACTAGGACTGACCCAAACTTAATTTAAATTGCATTGGAGAAGCAGTTATTTTTATATAATTTTTTGTATTAGGTTTAATGCATTTTGAATTAATTTTGAGCTGACACTTCATTTTTCTTTGATTGTCTAACTTACAACATTGGATTGCTAATACATTTTTCTAACGTTAACATGATAATAAATAACATTTATTGAGTTTTCACAAACATTTAGTAACATTTAGAGTCCAATTTTGTACAGATTTTCTTAAAATTCCTACAAAAAATGGACCTTACACCCTCATATAATACAAATTTAGGAAGTATACCGTCTTTTCATAGACTTTTGGTTTTTTGTTTGAAATTACACTAAATTAATATTTTGGAGGGTTAGGGTATTACAGTACAAAAATAAAAAACATTAATTAATTCTAATACATCATAACAATGAATAGAAAGGAATTCGTGTTTGGAAAAAAATGGAAAAAATGTTTTTTAAATTTACAAAATTTTTAGGATATCCAAAATTTTGAAGGTTTTTAAAATTTTCAGAATTTAAAAATTTAGAAAATAAAAATAAAAAAGATACCATACACAGAAGGATAGTTAGTTCACCCTGTATAATTTAGAACCTTATAAATATAAAAAAATAAACATACATTACATAAAACATTGTGTGTTAAAAATATTCGTCAATATTTATGTTATATAGGCGATAGTGTAGACAATAAAAACAAATCATAATTTTAAAATACCAAAACGGTTAGAATATACAACGTATAATATAATATAATACCTAATATTTTGGTTCAATATTTATTTTATAAACAACATTGTAATTAAACAATTAATTAACATAAAACTATAAACATACCCTGTAATGTTTGTTGCTTTTTTGTTTTTTATGAAATATTTTTAGTTTGTCATTTCGTAACAAGTGAATCTTAAATATCACTAGTTTACAAAATCGAAAAGAAATTCTGCCCACCATATCCCATTATAATTTTCCCATGTATTTTGACCCACTAAATACGAAAATCACACTCAATTTTTTTAAGGAAGCGTTTTTGAAATATGAATTTTCAATTTTTTTTTTTCAATTTACGGAGTTGTTTTGACGTTTTTAGTATAGATTGAAATTTAATTGATCGATTTGGTCAAACAAGCCCTTGAATTGAAGGTATTTGAGCCCTATAAAACTTTCTTTTACATACTTTTGATATCAGATAAGTATTATGTCGCTAGCGATTTTAATTCCTTTTTATGGCAAAAATTGAGGTCGAAAGTTTACATATCGTCCTGGAAAAGGTTTAAATCAAACAGATGACTCCAGTTGGAATTTTTTTCGTGAAGCTGACATTAAAAAAAAAAACAAGCTAATGTTGATAAAAATACATGGAAAATGGCGAAGTTATGAATTTTTAGTGGAAGACCAAAATTCACCTTTTTGTCGATTTTTATTTTATTTTGTTCTTTTATTTTGTAACATGTTTATTCATTAATGAAAACCTAAGTAAAGTGCAAGATTGGAATTTTTTGAGTTTTTTACGTACTTTTTCACCGAAAACATTATTCAAAATTTAAATTTGACATGACTCCGCAAACGGGAATTCTTTTGTTCCTCGTGTTGGCATAGTGTCATTTTACTGATATTTTTTGATATTTCAACAAGGTATTTTTATCATGGTTTTATTGAGTTAATAAAAAGTGTAAAATGAGTAAAAGAAGTAGAGAGTTCGAGTGCGTAAATAACCCGCACAATCTGGGCGACGTAAGTGATGAGCACGGAGAACGTTTTCACCAGCAAATGAAGGCTATGGAGCGGCGGTATCACGGCTTCTGGGATGCAGCCATGATGGGTGATTACATTTGGTCCCATATACGAGAAACGGAATATGAAAGCAACAAAAAACAAAGAAGGAGCCGGAATTTTTTTAAACCTATGCTTATTACAACAAAATAAAACTTTCAATTTATTCAATGTTCAATATTTAATGTTTAAAATAAAAATCAATGTCCAATATTAAATTTTATATAATTCAATAAACTGAAATTATCTTTTCAATTTATATCTTTCCCAGAAAGATATGTAAATTTTTGACCTCGATTTTTGTAAAAAAAAAAGCTTTTATAACTTTATAAAATCTTTTTTCATTATTGTGTTCGATTCAACGTAAAATTTGGAACATTGGACACACTGTATATTTCTCGTTACCACATTTAGTTAAAATTAAATTGAATTAAAAAATGTTCATAAGGTGATAAGTTATGACTCATAACTTTTAACAGCGCTAGAGCTTTATCCAGACTAACGATATCCTTATAACGCAGCTGAAATGGCAACACTGTTGCACGCGCATGCATGAAAATTTCATATGATGTATAACAATGTTTCGTGAGCCCACTAATTTGCCAGAGCAAATTGAACGTAATTCGCCGGTAATATTGTTAATGCAAAATCTGTAGTCGTGTAAGGGTTAACAAATTTTCAGCTTAAATTAATATTACCGCTACAACATTCGTTAAAAAGTCAAATTTAGAATATTTTGTGATCAAAAGTTTATTTATAAGTGGAAGGAAGGAGACTCATTCATACTACATAATATTTATTAGACTTCATACGCTAAAGAAGTATCGCTAGTAGCGCCACCACTCGGCTGATATCATCGTAACAAAAGTACAACTTGTGTTTTTGAGAATAAAGCCAGAAAATGTTAAAAAATATCGAAAAAAAACCGTGGCACGATTTGTTGTGCTCACGGTGGTCAAAACTAAAGTATAGGACGAACAAAAATGCCAACCAAAACTGATGGCATATTTTGATTATAGACCCTTTTGGTAACACTAACATGTATTTATCAAAATCCCATCCTATTTTAAAGTTTTGCAAACTTTTTTGTTTTTCTATTTCTACATATTATTTTGCAATTATTGTACTAAAACTACCTGTACAATTTTAATAAAATTAAGCAAAATAATAAACTTTCATCATTTAAATTACTTTACTCCCCAGGATTAATTTATTGAGTCACCTATTTTTTACCACTCAAAACAAAACATAACAAAAAAACGAAGATTTATATCTTAAATATTTTTTATAACAAAAAATACTGGAAGTTTGTCTATGAAATAATTACAACTTGCAAATTTTGTAAAACAATAATTAAGGTGGTTATGAAAAAAATTGCTATACGTTATAACACAAGTGACATTTTGCTTTAGTTGTTTATTGAATGTATACTTTATAAAGTTAAAAATAGTATTTTAAAATGAAAATTAAACCGAAATTCAAGTTAAGCCATGAAGAAA